CTGATTCTAGCGTATTCGCCACAATGGGGATCCGCTGTATGATTTAATTTTTACAGAATATTCGATTTTACATAAAATCTGCGATAACTGCACAGATCAACGTTCTCTACAACATGATAGTACTACTAGTTCTGTACTCATAGTCTTCGATCGTTCTCTCATTGCACCAAGCATCGCCCTGGTTTTCGGATTGCGCAGAAAAGAGGTGCGCAAGCTAAGACATGGGTGGTGGGGGGACACTGATAGAACTGAAGCTGTGGTTCATTCTGAGTCCGCAGTGCACAAGTACACAATACAAAAGTCAAACTTGTACAGGTACGGTAGAATAAAGACTTGCTGAATTTGGTAGCGGACATAGCACGTGATGGTTAGTGGTAGAAAACAGCAATCCGAGACGTCATTGGAGCCCACTGAACCCGTTGTGATAAAAGCCGTAGCAACAACACCCGTTCCTTGATCTTCTTCTACTTCTCCTCCTGATAGCTTTACTGCATAGGCCATAATGCCTGCGTACTTGTCTGAGCCTCTTTTTCGTGTGGCCAAACAACGAAGTCTCATTCCGGTTAGGCATTTTGTTTCCAGAAATACTTTTAGAGTGTTCGTTGTGAAACACGATCGTTAAAAAATTTTCTTCGAAGGGCTCAAACATCAATTTCACAGAATAGTGCTGTCACATTACTGTTCTACCGAGCCCGAAGTTTAGTTTGACGGCGTACTCTCTTATTACAGAACAACTCGCTTGCCCTCTTGGTCTCTTACCCTGAGCCACGTTTTTTTATCAACTTCTTAATTCGCTGTCAGTTGCTCCGCGTCTTCTTCTGAGATGAAATGAAAAATGGTTGCACGGTGAGGTTTTGGTCACAGATTTGACATAAGACATGATTAATTAATCAGTGCTGTGAAACGGCAGAGGAACGGTAAGTTTTCTGTTGTGCGTAATAAATCTTCTTCTGTTGCTGCTATTCCAGTACGATCGCAAACTTATGGACAAAATGGTCAAATAACTCTCCATCTTTGAATCAGTGCAATGCAAATACGAATGTGCAACTTCTGAAAGGGAACTTCTTTAAGGTGTTATGCAGATCGGAACTAGCACAAAATATTTAAGGTCCACTTGTATGCAGAATCGAAGCCAAGAAATAAGTATTCCGCAGTCTAGCGAACGGTTAATGTCTTCCAATTAATTTCGTTGTTTAACGTAGAGGTCGAAGCCGCAAAACCTTAGCTTTTAATCCTCAAACTATGAGGTTTATCGCTGGTACGGTTCCTGGCACTGAATGGGCATTTCGTTCATAATTTGTCAATTGCTCTGAGGTTATAATGACGTATAGAAGTGAGTCAAATGGTTTGAAGGCTTGAAGGCTGAGCGATGGCCAACGAACAAGATGAGCCAACATGATGAGAATGGTCAGCTGCGTTCGGGCTCAAAGACAGAAGGGAAAAACGCCGGGAAAGAGTGCGAATGAAGCTCGTAGCTAAGAGGGGAAAAACCATTGCAACTTGTGGTTGCTATAACTTTGCTGGATTAACTGATTTGATATTAACGGCGATCCAAACTGGAATATCAACATGAAAGCGGAAAACCTCCTTCTCCTACATTTAAAATTACACAAGCTTCGATCCTATCTGACAAGAATGACTTAACTCTATTTAATTACCTAACTATTTGTACATTGCAGAAATCTTGCAAATCCTCGCACTCAGAGCTGCAGCAGTATAAAATAGATTTGCCTAATGGCAGGCGATTCAGGAAGAGAGCAAAGTCGCCTTAGATCTGACATGGTATCGAATGCACTGAAGAATGACCACACATTTGTTCGATACACATTGCATATTTGAATGGCAAATTTTACCCCGTCTTCGATGCAATGGAAGTAAAAGAAAAATTGTGAAGAATAGAATTTAAAAATAATGAGGAAAGGAGCCCTCGTCTCGAAGAGGCAGGCTGCAAACAAATTGGAAGATGCGGCTCAAACAAACAGAATGAAGGCGTTGTTCAGGAAAATCTATTGCGACTAGGCCTTGAATAAATTCCTTTATTAGAAGGACAGTAGCATCACGCCCTTCCCTACAGGGCATGATGAAGAACATGCCTTAAATCGCTAACAATTCCTAATATGATTGTGAAACGAAAACTTCGCTGTTTTATTATAGAGCTGGACGAAAGATAGATGCTGTTATTGAATCGCACCACTGAAGAGGTGACTGAAGCCTAGAGACAACTGAAAAATGGCAGAGCTGGAGGAACTGATGAGCTGCAGTCAAAATGAACGAAGAAATCTGAAATGAATTTAGGTCTGATATTAGTAAATCTTTTAAAATTGCTATGGCAGAAAGAAAAGGTGCCAAAAGCTTAGGCGAGAGTTATGGTGATCCCAATTTTCAAGAA